ACTCTCAAAATATTTGTTGCAAGAATTTTATGTATCTGTGCCATTCAGAATTGTACTTTTTTTTTTAGTTATTTGTTCACTGAATGCTAGGATAATTAAATTGAACTAGAAAAATTAAACAATATGTATCAACGGAATTGGTTTTTCATGAACTTTGTGATAACAATATGACAAATCACAAAGTATTGCATAAAATGTAGAAACCATGTCTTAAATTCGACTGAGTGTTCTGCGTATTCATCACATATTAGTATTTCGCCAACAACATGATGATCGAAACAGTGACTACAAAACCATCAGCAAACCTGCTGGACAAAGTAAACAGGACAGCTATGTTGTGGTTTCTGTAATGATGTATAAAACACCAATTGTCAATGGGATAAATGCGGCCGTCCTTCTGCATAACTAACTGCCTTTTGAGTGTCATTCTTATGGATTTTGATACTTCGTTAAACTAACAGTATTCTCTCCTTACGTCACCAACTCTAATCCTAGTTAGTTAGTTAGTTATTGGAGAGGGTGGGTTTCCCCATGCACTTAGACCTGTATTGGTCCATTGTGCTTCCCTCTATGATTTCCACCAGTCTCTATATCCTACCGGTACTGGTGCTTACCATCAGTCCCGCCCAGCCAGCGAGACCGGCTCTACTAGCTGAGAGGTATCTATAATGCTTCCCCCATCTACCAGAGGTATTAGAGACTGCTGTTGGGCGGGAAACGTCCGTTAATTTGGCTCAGTGACCTCCTTTGGAGATATGAGGTTCTTTTACGTGCCGTAAAGCTACGACACGGGACCCACGGCTTAAAGTTCCTCCCGGAGGACTAGTTTCGTGAATTTTTCCGCCCTTAAAAATTCGACGACCTCCGCCGGGTATTTGAACCCGCGTACTACGAGTCATGAGGTGGGAACGTTACCTCTAGACTACGGAGGCCGCTTAACTCTAATCCTATGTGCCTATAAGGAATTGCCCATGTTATATAGGCAAGCACAGAGATATTGAGCAAATCGTGCACATTTCTGCGATGTGAATAATAATGTAATATTTGACAACACAACATGCTAGACACGGAAGAACATACCTACCAAGGGGCGTGTCTTTGTTTTCTTAACCTATATTAATTGAACTGGCCTACGTGTAATGACATCGTGCCACGCCCATATCATTGAGACGCCAGTGAGTATGTTGAGGGATGTTCTGGCAATGCACAGCACCCTGCCTCCTCCCTCGCGTGATAGTACGTTCGGGAGAACTCAGTATTTGAATACGTCAGCTTTAAGAAACCGTGGAAATATAAAGAAAGCAAAACACAGGCGTTCTTTGGTTTTTAAATGAATTCACAGAAAAATAAGTTGGCATATATGTTCATCCATATTATTTTAATGCAGGACAGAGTCGTAGTAGGCAGATATCTGATTAAGGCTTTGAAAATGTTACAAAATTAAAATATTTTGGAAAGACAATGACATGAGCCGATCACAGTGGCCGCTCGGTCTAAATTATGAACCTTCTTCGCTCCTTCGAACTCTGGGATCTTGGGTTCGAATCCCATTCAAGGCATGGATGTGCGTTCGCGTTTATTCTGTGTTTGTGTTCTCTGTGTAGGTAGCGGCCTTGCGACGGGCTGATCCCCCGTCCAAGGAGTCCCACCGACTGTGTATAGGATTAAGAAACTGAAAAAGCGGCCAAAATCCGAAGGCTGTAGAGCCATAGAGAGAAAATGATATACCTGAAGAACGTTTATGAAGGAGGATGCAATGAGCATGGGCAGGCGTGGGAGGATTGAAAAAGGCATAGAAAATGCTAGTCGGAAAACCTGAAGTCAAGGAATCATTTGGAAGACTTTGGCATGTAATGCAGTGCAATGTGAAGATCGGGATTGAAATTTTCCGTCTGAGATAAGAGAACAATAGCGGGAGCTTGTGAAGGCGCCGGGAAATTCCTTTATTATTTGAGTGACTGTAAGCTTCGAAAGAAGGACACGGCTTCATGGACCAAGCTAACTTTGCGAACACGAGTTCAGTCGCTATAGCGACGAGCTACGGACTGGACGGCCGAGGTTTGATTCCCGGCAGTGACAATTTATTATTCAATTTCCACAGCGTCCAGACAGAATCTGGGTCTCACCGAGCCTCATATACAATGAGAACCGGAGGTAAGGAGATGGGGGCTTGAAGCTCACCACTCACCTCCATCTAATGCCGAGGTCAATAATGGTGGAGCTATACCTCCACTCCTCCATATGTCTTCATGACGCAGTGCTCATTTAGTTAAGCACAGGGACAAGTTTACCTTTTTTACTTATTTATATTTGTAATAGTTTCCATAAGAAAAGCCCAGGTCCCGTAACGAACTTTTTATCATGGCTTATAATTAATTTGTTCGGTTATTTAGTAGTTTTTGTGTCAAAACGAAACATTTTGCAACAAATCTCGACCCGGCTGTTACTGTAGTAAAATGTTTCTAAATAATATATCGAGAAGTAAGTGGAGGAAGCGCACTGGATGCGATATTTCGGCAGGAGAAAAAGGAAAGAGAGGGATTAGAAGAATACGGAGACTAAATGAACAGGAAAGCTGCACGTTTCATTAATTTTACCTAAAATATACTTTGATACTTTCGGAAAGAAACACGATATATCTGGTTAACCTGAACGTTCCCTAGAGGTAACGTTCCCACCTCATGACTCGTAGTACGCGGGTTCAAATACCCGGCGGAGGTCGTCGAATTTTTAAGGGCGGAAAAATTCAGGGAACAAGTCCTCCGGGAGGGACTTTAAGCCGTGGGTCCCGTGTCGTAGCTTTACGGCACGTAAAAGAACCTCATATCTCCAAAGGAGGTCACTGAGCCAAATTACGGACGTTTCCCGCCCAACAGCAGTCTCTAATACCTCTGGTAGATGGGGGAAGCATTATAGATACCTCTCAGCTAGTAGAGCCGGTCTCGCTGGCTGGGCGGGACTGATGGTAAGCACCAGTACCGGTAGGATCTAGAGACTGGTAGAAATCATTAATTTTACCTAAAATATACTTTGATACTTTCGGAAAGAAACACGATTTATCTGGTTAACCTGAACAGGACTAAATATCATTTGTAGCTAGATTTTGTGCTAAACTTTACTTTCTACTGAGACAGATTCGGTGTTTATTCTGCTATGCGGAACAAAAATATATGGGTTTTGAGAAAGGACTTTAATTTGCTATAAAACTAATTCTGACATCTATACTTTCAATGTTCCTTCAGCATAACTTGTCTGTGTTTACGATTCAAGCAGGTCATGCAACAGACTCAATATATGCGCCACGTAACAGCAGTTTACAACTATAATGCATTGATCTCATACACAGTTTCCTTCATCTCCGAATGCGGGGTCACATCCGCGTATTCTCGTACTTTCCGTTTACTTTCGTGTGCCTTGTTGAGCATAGTCTTATTTAAGACAGTATTAGTATTCAGTATTAGTCTAGCTAGAGGAAGTAGAGAGGTTGTATTCATTGTACTGCCCTCTCTGTTGCAGAGAACGTATACCATTTCATTCTTATCACTTTAGAACGTTAAAATGGAGATGTGATATCTGACAAATATCGAGACTGTATTTCCAGGCAAGGCTCTTCGCTCCCTGCTTCTCGGCGCTACAGCTCAGGGTGAGCTTTGACCTCCTGAACAATCTGCCTCCATTCTTCCCTATTCTTCATCTTTCCTCCCTATCCTTTCACCTCCATCTTACGGAGATCCTCATATACATCCTCCATCCGTCTCAACCTGGGTCCTCCTATTTTCCTTGTCATATATATTTCATTTTAGAAGGTGATTATCTGGTTTCTGAACAGTTTCGTTTTTACGGTGTGAGGTTGTTAGCCTCGGGCCCAACCCCCAACCTGGAGGACCAGGATATCCCTCTTCATCTGTCTCCTACCCTTTGATCTGTTTGGCATGGGTGACCCTAACAGTAGATACGTTACCGCCGGCATAACTATCAGGGTCTCGGGAGCACTCAAACCCCACGACCACGATAAGGTGGAGACATCATCTATGGGGACATGAAGTGATATCCTTCCTTCCCCTCGACTCTACAGCTCAGGGTGAGCTTTGGCCTCCAGAACAATGGCTCCATTCTTCTCTATTCTTCATCTTACCTCCCCATCACTTCACTTTAATTTTACGGAGATCATCACGTACATCCTCCAACCATCCCAACATGGGTCTTCCTCTCTTCCCTGTCGTATATTTTACCTTGTAAAATCCTTTTTGCCATAGCCGTTTCATTCATTCTTTCAACATGCCCCAACCACTGTAGTCTCTGGGCTTTAATGAATCTAATTACATACAGGCAAGGCTCTATTAAATTTTATTCTGAACTGCAGTGGACTTTAAAGTAGTTTCCTCCTGAAGCTAGTTATGCTTGGATTCGAGATTTCTAACCATCAAAATACTTCGGAAGCCGTTCTCTTGCAGATAGCTCAACACGTACGTCATAACAGTCTGAATCTCCTCCAGTGTTTCAAAATATGATCCCTTGAGATAGTTCTTCATGGAAAGAAGGAGGGAGAGGTCTCATGGATCGAGGTATGGTGAGTAATCGAGGTTATCCGGGACCACGGTGGATTTTTTCGCCAAAAACTCCTTGACTGGAAGCGCCGTGTGTGAGGGCGCGTTGCTCCGGTGCAGGATCCACTTGTCGGGGAACAGTTTTTGCCTCACACGAATAACCTTTATCTCTGACGTTACACATCTTGATGATAAAACTTCTGGTTGACCGTATAACGAAGCAGTACAAACGTTGAATGCATTATTTTTATCAGTCAAAAAACAAATCGTAATTTTATCGTCTTTTGATTTTGACATCCGCGCTCTCTTTGGGGGTGGTTGGAGATTTCCATTTTATGCTCTGCCGCTTTAGCTCAAGGTTATACTGATGAACCCAGCTTTCATTCCCAGTTATGATCCTTCAGCCATTCGCCATTCCCTTCGATTCATTGCAAAACATAAGCGTAAGCTTACCTCCTCTGCTGCAGTGGGATGTTAGTTCGGTTCTTGGGCACCGTATTCATATATTTCATGTTTATGTTCCGTTCAAAAAATGCATCACCTATTTTCGTGAGAGCTACGTAAACACACCTTCACTTAAAACATGTCAACTTTACACTAGCGACACATTTCAAGATAAGCTTTCTACTTCGTATAGTTCAGACTTGTACCTGTAGGTGTCAGCACTTCCCATTGATCAAAGAGTGACGCACTTCGCACTGTGCAGAGTATCATTAAATGTTAAACCGCGTATAACAAGTCTCCAGCATTGGGTCCTATACAAGCCAACTAAATTCAGCCCTGAACTTGTCCATGGCCTGAAATTTTAAAAATAGATATTCCAAGTCTAATACACCATTGTCCCAAAATTTTATAATTGGTTCATAAATGGTTTCCATAAGATGTGTTTTAGTGTTATGGCCTGGTCTTCCAAATTACACTCTATAGGGGATTTCCCCATCAAAATATGTTTGTTGTACATAGGCCCGAGCTACGTATTATGTACCAGGTTTATATCAACCTTCTTTACTCGCTGACCTAAGGATTATTAATTAAGTTTAGGCATTTTTTTTATTATCCTCTTGGTTCAACTGTAGTGATTCAAATATCTGTTTGCAAATTTTGGTTTCAAATTCTCACGTCTTTTGCTGTTTGTTTAGGTAATTGGTGGTTTCGCAGTAGTTGCTAATAAAGGGATAAAATATGGCGACATATTCCTTCATTTAGTTACTAATTTCTTTTTTTTACAAAATAAAGACATCCGATACAGTGTCTGAGGTTCTCACAACGATGTCTATGAAGAATTCTGTCTTCTGGGATATAATGCCACGTGGTCCTTTTGAAGTCAACCGACGTTTCGGAGGAACATTTCTACTTGCCACTTGCTTTCACTCTGGTTTCTTGCTCGATTTATTCTTCGACCCTGAAGATGGAGGCGACAGTCTTAAAGATGCCAAAATTTGTATTCCAAAGTAAGAATCAGTTATTGCTCGTCTTATTCTTCGACGGTGAAGATGGAGGTGACATGTTTATCAGAAACATCGGTCTACACGGCATTATGTTCTAGAAGATAGAACTATTCTTAAAGACGCCAAAATTTTTATTTTAAAGTAAGAATTATTTCGAATTTTATCAACTGCACAATGAATCCTTGGAGTAACTTAATATGTCTGTGAATATGTTGTTACAATACGTGCTGTATTTTCTTTACAAGAAAACGTATGTATATGATTACATTTATGTAAAGTGACGCCGTGCCAGCTCGGCAACTTCTCACATACAGTAATAGAAGGGGCCTGTTTCCCTTATTCCATCACCCGTTTCTTTAATGGTAAAAAAGAACTGTTCATTGTTTCCTTTTATACAGTTTGCTGTTAGTTTTGTAAATAGTCGTTACTAATATAACATTTTTCCTGTCTCATGACTACATGCATTATGATGTCATCCTTTGTCGAAAACTTTGTAACAAATTGTAAATCTGTCGTCCATGGGCGTTAGGTCTTCTTGTAAGGTTTTTAGTACTCGTAAAATATGAAGGCAACAAAAGAAATTATGTATGTAATTGATCGAAATATTAAAAATAAATTCCGGTCTAGAAAACCGAAAGTAACGGCCGTGGGGATACTTTGAGCTGACCACGCGACACCCTCTATCCGCAGAAGTTGACATTAACTTCGCCGACAAGCGGCGGTCGCTCGGTCGGTATAGTTCGCTTGCGGAGTACAAGCAACGGAGTTAGTTATTAAAAATAAATTCAGTATGCGTTCATATAGAAGCAAACAGGAGAAGACATCCTGAAAGAACAGTATCATGGCGTAGTCACCGAGTCATAGACGGTGTATTTTGTTCCCGCTGTGGTGGGAAATGCATTCTGGTTTGCCTGTTTCCAGCATAAAGTATTTATATTTACGAATCCCCTTCTTGTGTTTAGGAGTGTGTGTGTGTGTGTGAAGCTATATACTATATTATTATATACACTTTTACTTTATTGGTATTTATCATATAATTGTTTATGCATTTTTATAACCAAAGAGTACGATTTACAGGTTTAAGAAAAGCATGATTTACAAAGTATTTTTAGACTGTAACTGGATAATGATGATGATGATGATCCGTCAAATAACAGTAACAAAAACACTTCTTCTTCAAACACGATTTCTCACAGCCTATCGTTCGAGATCAAGTATTTACAACGTCCGCCTAAAAAGTTTTCTGTCAGTTCTTGTATTACTAAACGAGGCCACGATGTCTTTTTCCTCAAAATTTTCAACAGTTCGCAATTCATCACTACTCTGTGAACAGCATTTCCTGCTATCCACGAAACATGATTGTGATATTAACCCACATTGCTTCAAATACTCGTAAATCGTCCTAACTGCTATATGACAGCTCAGATAGACATTAAAGCAACATCCATCTATCAGGCTGTTAGCGCGGATCTTGTTAGAATTGTATTTGTGCAGTGACATAATAATAGATGCGAAGTGACTGTGTTTTGTCTGTTGCAGGGCCTTGTGGATTTTGCTACGACAACACCGCTTCAAGATGAATGCGTAACACATGTTCCTATCGAGATTGTCTCAGAGCTTCTAGTCGAGGTAAGTTCGTAATGTGACTTGATTTCACTGCAGAGTTCATTAGGATGCGTTCACATGGGATTACATAATCTGCGCTATTCCATTAGACATGCACATTTTTTGACAACGTGGAATGTCAATACTTTTCAAATCCAGAACTGAGAAATATACGTATTAAGCATCTTTCCAGAGGACGAAAATTATTTTCCATATATTTGTCAAAATAAACTTTTGCTTTCCTCGCCATTAATTCTGTTGCAGGAATTGTAAAAATAAGAGTAAATAGGGGCACTCCAGTTGGAGGGATCATCCATACCTCTTTGCTGATGTGCTAATTTGTTACAGGCACAAACTTATTTTTATACAGCTAAGAACACTGCATGACTGCATGAGTCGGTCACTGTTGCCGAGCGGTCTAAGGCATATACTGTCTTCGCTTGCTCGGAAGCCGGGATCGTGGGTTCGAATCCCACTCAGGGCATGGATGTTCAGTGTATGTGTGTGCGTTTTTCTGTGTTTGTGTACAGGTAGAGGCCTTGCGATGAGCTGATCACCCGCCCAAGGAGCCCTACCGAATCTCTAGGATTAGTAAACCGAAGTGAAACGGAGAGTTTCATGGAGGTAGGCCAACGCTCAAATTGGGGGTGTACCCACCTGTTCACAGTGGTTCCTCGCACGAGGATTTTTATACCCTGAAAATGGAGAGTATACTTTCCTCCGAAACGTCGATTTACACAATATCTGCATCATTATACTTTTGACAATAAGATTTTTGGATTGGTAAAGTTTACTACTCTAACTCCATTATCATTACTAATTTCGTGTAAACTCTTATTCCCAACTGTTGGTTTGAAAATGTCTTCCCTCCCTACTTAGGCATTGAAATCTCCTGGAAAAGTTTTCATGTGGTATTTACGGAATTTATCGAAAACATGTTCTAGTTCTTCGTAGAACCTGCCCTTCACATCGTCAATTTTGTCCTCTATTGGGGTATTAACATTCAGAACGATGATATCACACCAGCGATCTCTTTGTATTACGTATGACGTCCTATCACTAATGAACTCTACCCTCTTAACTGCTGATATGATTCTCTTATTTAGAAAAACCCTGTACCTAATTCATGATTCTCATTCCCCTTTCCATAGGAAAATGTATATTCGCCTGCTGGTTCAGTGACACCTCCCTCCCATTTGTCTTCCTGTACTCCCACTAAATCTAATTTATAACTAAATCTAACTGTATTTTGAGATTACTTCTGCCACTGCCCTGAGCGAACCTGCCCTATACATACTTCTGACGTTCCATGTACCGAATTCATGTCCATTTTCTTTAGCTTAGGTCGTTTATCCAAAGAATCCGTCTAGGTCCAAGGCTTTTTTAAATATTTCGTAATAAGCTTATTTTTTATGGTGAGGAATTATGAGCCCCGCGCCCAACCCCAAGCTGGAGGACCGCCCCTTGTCGGCTGTCCGCGACTCCTTACTCAGTATATTCGCAGCTACCCTCCATATCTGGAGGGCGTCTCCTCCATCCGCAACCTGATGACGCGCCATGCTGTGGTGACAAGGGACCCACCTAACATGAATCGATTTTTATACTGATTCAATAAATTCATCTCCACATAAAAAATTCGAAAATGGCTGCAATTGTGAAAACTCATAGTAAGAATTGTAGTAATGCAAAGCGTTCAGTGTCAGATTCATTTCTGAAGATGATCTACCTCTGTCCCTCCTTGCAAATGCCTGCATAGTGCCTTCAAATAGACCACAGCAGCCTTTATCCAGATTACATTCAATTAATTCACGTAATGTCTGACCATTTGACACCCTAAACTCACGCAGCTCTGAAAACTTCGTTAGATAAACCCTGCATCCATCATCACATGCCATAAATCAGCTACCGATTTTATCGACTTTTAGTATTAAAAATGTTAAAAGACGAACATTAACATAAAAATCTATTAAAATTCGGTATTCTAATGTTGCATGTTGCATGTATTCTAATGTTACATTAAACATTATGGAATTCCCGTAGGTTTACTTTCACTGCCGTGAATTACGCAAATTTTTGCATGGAATTCTGACGGACTTCACACGGATTTGTCCTTCGGGAGGGAAAGAGTGATCTTGTGAGCCTTTGTTTCAGAGAATGGATAAATGATTGCTCCCAGTGTGAGAAAGAGATATTTTTCCATTGATCCATTTCCAACGTTTGTTGTAAAATCAATATGTAATGTGTTTTCGTCTAATGCGGTTGAAAATATTCCTACATAAAGAAAGAGCTGAATTGAGAAGAAGGCTAGGTGGAATGGGTCTAGACAGGTGGTCGAAGACAGCATGAAATTTTAAAATGAAAGAGACGATCAAGGAGACAGAAAAAGGAAGGTAGTTTCTGAGACCCATGCAGATATCTAGTCCATGCAGAGTGGAAGAAGAAGAAGAAGAAGAAGAAGAAGAAGAAGAAGAAGAAGAAGAAGAAGAAGAAGAAGAAGAAGAAGAATGATTGTGGTTTGGTGGTGATAATGACTGTATTAATGGTAGTAGTCATTTTAAGATCCCTTTGTTCTGGCATTCCTTCCTTGAAATTTTAGGCTTTCTTTACGAAGTAAAAAGGAAATGCAGCCTTATATGGAGGTAATGCCTGCCTGTCTGTCTGTGATCTGTATCAGCGCCTGCACCACTGGACAGATTTTCTTCAAAGTCCTTATGGGATATTGTCTCTAAAAGCTATCCAGCAGTTCTGATCTTCAGCTTCATTGAACCATAATAAATTTGGTTTACATAAGGCCATTAAGAGACTTTCCATGTATCCCACAGACACTTTCCCATATTTTGTTGAATTTCGGTATGGAAAACTTCCACTAATCTGCATTTCATTATTCCCATTCTTAAGTAAGCTTAACAAACCTCAAAGAACGCTGTTATAGTAAGTAAAAGTAAAGCTATGCCTGTAACAGGCCATGAAGGCCCATAGGTTTGTAGTACATATATAGTAATTTTATGTACTTTACTATGGAGAGCGCCGTTTCTGATCTTGTTGTGCTATAGGGAAATTTAAATGAATAGACAGTGATCTGTCTGTGTGTTTGGACGAAGTTAGTGAACGGTTTGCAACACCAGAATTCACAACTGTGAAATGAAGGAGCTTTTTCATCTTCATCCTTAATTTCGATTAAAAAGTTACATACACGTATTTCTTCTCAGACTTGTAAATTGCCTTACAGATTTTTTATTATGGTTGAAGTTCATCACACAACAGCGTTTTTCAGCGTTAACAATAACAATCAGTCAAGCATCATCATATCCCTCCATTATGTTCTATCTGCACTTCATGAAGCTGCCTGATAAAGTAATAAGTTTCTCTAGCCCCTTGTTTAGCTGCTGTAATTAATTTGCAGTTCCTGTAATCTAAATAACGTTCTTAAAAGATGTATGATGATGTAGTACTAACTGCCTTTGCACAGGATTAATTGTGGCAGCGGAAAGAATTAGCAATGAATAGAGTTGTTACAAGAATTAAACACATTAATATTGTTTTTACAAGAAAGGAGCAGAATTTTGTATGCACTCTGACATTAAGGGAGGAACATAGATGAGGGTGTTTGAGAACAGGGTGTTGAGGAGAATATTTGAACCAAAGAGAGATGAAGTGACTGGAGGTTGGAGAAAACTGCACAATGAGGAGCTTCATAACTTGTACTCTTCACCAAGTACAATTAGAATGATCAAGTGAATGAGGATGAGATGGGCAGGGAATGTAGCATGAATGGGGCAAAGAGGACTGCATATAGGATATTGGTGGGAGAGCCAGAAGAAAAGAGACTACTAGGAAGGCCAAGATATAGGTGAGTAGACAATATTAAAATGGGATGATATGGATTCGATTGATCTGGCTCAGGATAGGGACCAGTGAAGGGCTCTTGTGAACATGGTAATGAACTTTTGGGTTCCATAAAATGCTGGTAAGTTCTTGAGTAGCTGCACAATTAGCAGATTCTCAAAAAGGGCTCAGCTCCATGAGTGAGTGAGTGAGTGGGTGAGTGAGTGAGTGAGTGAGTGAGTGAGTGAGTGAGTGAATGAGTGAGTGAGTGAGTGAATGCATTCTTTGAGATATTGTACACCACATTAACCATGGCTTCAGTGAGTGAGTGAGTGAGTGAGTGAGTGAGTGAGTGAGTGAGTGAGTGAGTGAGTGAGTGAGTGAGTGAGTGAGTGAGTGAGTGAGTGAGTGAGTGAGTGAGTGAGTGAGTGAGTGAGTGAGTGAGTGAGTGAGTGAGTGAGTGAGTGAGTGAGTGAGTGAGTGAGTGAGTGAGTGAGTGAGTGAGTGAGTGAGTGAGTGAGTGAGTGAGTGAGTGAGTGAGTGAGTGAGTGAGTGAGTGAGTGAGTGAGTGAGTGAGTGAGTGAGTGAGTGAGTGAGTGAGTGAGTGAGTGAGTGAGTGAGTGAGTGAGTGAGTGAGTGAGTGAGTGAGTGAGTGAGTGAGTGAGTGAGTGAGTGAGTGAGTGAGTGAGTGAGTGAGTGAGTGAGTGAGTGAGTGAGTGAGTGAGTGAGTGAGTGAGTGAGTGAGTGAGTGAGTGAGTGAGTGAGTGAGTGAGTGAGTGAGTGAGTGAGTGAGTGAGTGAGTGAGTGAGTGAGTGAGTGAGTGAGTGAGTGAGTGAGTGAGTGAGTGAGTGAGTGAGTGAGTGAGTGAGTGAGTGAGTGAGTGAGTGAGTGAGTGAGTGAGTGAGTGAGTGAGTGAGTGAGTGAGTGAGTGAGTGAGTGAGTGAGTGAGTGAGTGAGTGAGTGAGTGAGTGAGTGAGTGAGTGAGTGAGTGAGTGAGTGAGTGAGTGAGTGAGTGAGTGAGTGAGTGAGTGAGTGAGTGAGTGAGTGAGTGAGTGAGTGAGTGAGTGAGTGAGTGAGTGAGTGAGTGAGTGAGTGAGTGAGTGNGCCTTACACAACTTAGGTATGAGTTGGGATATATGGGCCTTCCAAGTACACGTGCTTTCAACAATTATACCCAAGAACTTCACCTCGGTACTGTTTGGGATCACATTATTGCAATAATTAACCATAACTCCGGTATTAGGACAAGACTTAGCCGCAAATTGTACATGTTTAGTTTTGCTGAAGTTTAGGGTTAGCAGGTTTGACTTGAACCACTCATTAAGGCAGTCAAAGAGATATTCACATTCCTATTATATTGTAAGTTATTATTGCTACTAATCACCAAACTAGTGTCATCTGCGAATAAGACTGGTTTAACTGTGCTATTAAAAATTGTAGAAAGATCATTTATATAGAAAAGAAATATACTGTTGTAAAGCTTGTACCTTAAAAATGAGTCTCCTTTTTTTCTGTTGAATATTTATCATATCAAAAAAGTTTCAAATAAACATTGTAGAACATCATGACATCTATAGCCTAATTTAGTCCATGTAATGATTTATTATATTAGTATTAGTATTATTGTATGGTTTGCTATTGTTGAAAAAAATTGTAAAGCAGTGTTGCTGTGTTGGTCAACCAAAATAAAATTTGCCGTAAATTTTCATTATACTTGTAAATCCCTCATACAGATCTGTATTGAAATTCATTAAGCACTTTCAGAGATGAAATGTGTGGACTGACAAAGACACTGCCACAACTATGCACTCATTTTATACAGTTCAGGCATAAAATTAAGCGGTGTAAATCACGATTTGCAAATACTGATATTTTTATTAACTTAATAAATTACTTAGTTTGCTAAGTCCACAGATGGTAGCAATATATTAAATGACTGATTTAGGCTTTGAAACTAAATGAATTTTTTTTCAAAATAACACTTTTGAACTTGAAAACTCTTATATAATAGTTTTGGCACCAGTACTGCTTTGTAACTGTCCTGAACTCATGTTTTTCATGTAAATAAAATGTTGTGCAGTTTTCTTGTATGAGAATGGAATTTAATAAATTTACCTACCATGATATGACAATGTGGAGCTTAATAACTGGAACAAGGCTTTTCATGTGAATCTGAAGTCACACTTACTGACACAAGTGATTCACGCTAAACTGTACCAAGAAATAAGCCTACTAGTAGTAGTGTTTTTTTACCCATCTTGCAGAGAACATTTATAGTTTGCAGGACAGTGAAGGTGAAACAGAAATATTAGCTAAAGCTACTAAACACACCTTTTTATTTGTTATTTTATGATAAAACTGCATAGCTGGGAAAGTTTCCATGGCTAGAAGTCTGTAAAATTAGACACACCTGATTGGTTCATAAGTTATTTAATTCCTCTGTTTTAACTGTGGATGTTGTATATGGTACAGATAATGACCTGGCTGATAGACAAACACCTTCTAAATAAAAGTTCAACCTACAGTTATGTTCAGCTGTGTTTTTCATGTGTTGCAGGAGGACCTATGGTCCAGTCGGGCCAGCAGTGAGGAGCTTATCAGCATCATTGCACCTTTGTTGGACAACAATCCTCCCACCCCAGAGATGTGCCATTTCTTCTCCAGACACTGTGTTTCACATCCACGGTCCCCCATTGTGGCTGACAAGCTGACTCCTATAGCACATCGAATCCTCAAACACAATGTAGTATGTTCAGTCTCATATCACGTAACTTGGACAGAGTAATTATATTCACTTGGAAAACGCTTTGATCAAAGGTACATTGCAGCCCTGACAGCATTCATAATGCTTAATTTTGCTACATTTACTGGCTGGATCCCAGCATACTAATTTAATTATTCTGGTGACTGTAAAACTGAAATTATGCAGATCAGATAGAATATATAAATTAAGTATGTATTAAAACAGTATCAAAATTTTCATATATAATTTGGATTTTAATGACATTTTATGCCTAAAAATTAAGTGACTAACATAGGTATACAGAACATGTAACTATTATTGGCACTAACATGAATAATGATATAAGTTTGGTTTTTGTATTTAATAATCACTGATAAACTGTGACAGCAGTTCTTGGATAAGAGGTCGTGCAAACTGAATTCTTGCTGAATAATTATCCTAGACACTAAAATAAGAGCTTCGAATGAGGCATAAAAATGTAGAAGGCCTGGAGCTTCAGGACAGTGGTTTTCAAACATTGTCACACCACACACTGCTTATTGAAAGGCTATAATACTCTAAACACCATAAAAACTAAAATATTTATGATAATTCCTCTCTTACCATCCTGTTTTTCCACAACACCACTTAACTTGTTACATCTCCATGTAGCTAAAATTTAATGCAGAATTTCGCAGATTAGTTCCTTTCTGAAATGAGTGTCTCTAATGTAACTTCAGGCCTACATCTCAGCCTGTCTCACTAAAAGTTTGAAACACACCTACTGAACTCCACTGTAGTAGTGCCATTATGATCATGGACATAATCTGTAATATTACATTCCAACAAAGAAGCAAAGCAATAGCAGTTAAAATAAATACAATTAAGAATAAAAAAGGAAATAAACAATATAAAAATAAAGCATTAAAAGAATATGACGTTTCCACTAATATAGAAGCAGATAAGAGAAAGCTGCAGTGAGTTTTAGAAATAAATGTGTGTTTAATTTATTTTTGGATTTTTCAAATATAAATACAGATATGCATTGTTTCCAGGACTTCAGCAAGTCACAACACATGCGACATTTTGTGCAAGATTACATTCGGGCTCTTTATTCTCAAAATGCAGGAGAAGTTGTCATTCAGAAATTTGTCTCGAGGTAAGAAACACACTCACAGTCGTTAGTTAACTTTTGTTGTATTCAGTTCAAAGAAAGGAAGCGAGTTCAGTAACTGTTAGTGCTGCACAAATCCACGATTTTGAATAACAAATTAATATGAGCATTTATAGACACACTTTGCTTCAGAATTTGAACCATACTTTCCTTTACTGATTGTTTAATTTAAATTTCCCTTTAATGATGATGATGATGATGATGATGACGACGACAATGATGATGATGATCTTATTCCAAGTTACCACACTTACTGTGATAAGTTTAATTTCAGTTCATTGTATCCTCATTAAGTCAGGCAAGTTCATTTAACTGTCCTTTACACATTACATATTAGTATGCCAAGACTGTTGGGTGATATTTAGTATTACTGTGTTCTCCTGTGTTGGTTATATTGCTAAAGGCTAAAATATTAAGGTATACATGTTTAAGTACTAAACAATTTGTTAACTCTTAAAATAATCTTCTATGAATATTAATAAAATTCATCTTACATATATTGTTATACATATGACTTTTCTTCAGCTTGCACAGACTAATACTAATACTGTAAAGCAATTGATATGTACTGACACACTGTTCAGGACTAAAAAGTTTTACATCTGCCACTGCAGTGTATGTTTCAGTCTTGAGACTAAAACTGACCATGTGAGTAATGGCAAATATGCTTTTAGAAAAATTCGCAGGCTCCACATAAATACTTTCTGGAGATATGAGTAATTATTAGCAGTACATTAGTTAGTTTGGTGAAAATTCTGTACCTTGCCTTGTGTAATATATTGATGATATTTCATCTTATGCTTAATTTCTGTTTGGATTTTTTATTACATGGTATGGTGGTATTTTTTTGTAATTTTCTAGGAACTCTTGCTCACATATAAAGTTACATTTACTTTTCAGAGGTGAAAGGAAAATCCATTGATCTGATGCTCTCTATTAAGGTTGGATTCTTGTAGTTTCATAAGTTCCTAGGAACTTTAGATTACACGTATAGTGATATTTCCTTCTAGGATGCTGTAAATCGTTTGTGACATTAAAAGCACATGGTTCATGAATATATTTCTATTTATATGATTTTTTAAATGATACATGTTCTCAGTTTTCATTTTACACTACACATGAATTTCTTTTCCATTTTTCATCTCATCCTCTGTACATGTTATTTAGTCTCTGTTGCCTATTTAAATGTGGGGAAGTATAGATATTTCACCAAAACATATCCCTCAGGACATCCTGTCTTGTGTGTGTGTGTCTCTCTCTCTCTCTATATATATATATCGTGCATGCATGCAGACACACACACACACACGCATGCACAGGCATTCAGTGCCAGTTGCACACTTATGAATACTCTGAAATGCTGATGTATGTATGTATGTATACAAAAGTTCAGAGGCACGCAGGCGCACAGGCTTGCAGGTGCAAAGATGTGGAGAGCCGCACAGGTGCACAGAGGTTTAGAGGTGTACAGATGAACATGCATTTTGATAGAATGGTAAAGAACATTTATTTGAAATGATTGCCTTCACAGAGAATACAGATGTTCAAAGGCTAAGAATAATATCTACTTTAATATCTAAAGTATGTTACTGCACAGTGAGACAAGTCTTTTTGAGTACTCCTGTATTCATACTATTAAATTTATCTCTGTAGGTGTAGGTCTGGTATTTATTATTTGACCACACCACAGATGGATTTAAGAGAGTGAGGAGTAGGCATGGAAATAGCTTTGCAGTATGTGATAAATACTCAGAAATGAGCCAAAAAGCATAGGGAATGATGAATACTCATGAAAGGAGTTATAATTCATCTCTTGCTTGTTTTCAACTATAGAGTATTTGTTCCTACATTTCTCACTGTTGGGAATGATTTAGCCACTGGAAATAGCTTCGTAAAAGGAAGCTATGGAACTAAACAGGCAGTGTCTGCCTATGTCTACCCCCATTTCCAGCACTGGTGAGGAAATCAAGTGGTCATATAAGGCAAAATGAAAAGGGGAAAAATAATGTGCAATAGTAGCATAGCACTGGTACACTGAAGCCATACTTGATTAAATGGTGTCATAAAATTGCATTTGCATGATTTTGGGAACATACGACAATGTTCACCATGGTATTGGTGAGAATACAATTTGAGATATAAACCTACTTGATTTTGTTAGTGAGCAGTAACTCTCAAGAGTTATGGAACTACTTGGATGGTACCTGGTTCAGATATTTCAGGGATTACTAGATGTCATGCCTGATGGTTTTCATAAATTTTTCCTCAGTCTTTTGGTATGGATGTTAGGGTAGTACTTAAAATTAGACCATGACTGCCTCCTTCAAGATCTGTTCCATTCACAGTGATTGTCCATTTCATGATGTTATGTGGTCTCTGCTGTTGAATCAGAATTGTAAAATAATTGAAGACTCAATCAGTTGATCTAGCTGATTTTGGCCATTTACAAGGATTTTAGTGATAGTGGATTATTGTCAGAGGTTCAAGGAACCCTCCCACAATCACTAGGGACTATTGATGTATGATTCCTAACCCATTTTCCTGTCACTTTTAGTGTTTGTGTGTCATACCATGTCTGATGGATGTAACACCATGTGATATTGGATATCCATTCAATGCATGTGTTATTGTCCTGTAGTGTCCATGGTCCTGGGAGTGGATGCCCTCACCCCCGTGTTCTACCAAATCTTGTGGCTGTGTGCCTAGCTGCCATCTTTTCTAATTTTGAGGAGCGGCGTATGTTAGCAAGACTGAACGAAACACCCAACTCAGAGAAGGACTTGGGTGAAGGAACAGAGGAAACAATCCATGAAAAAGAACTTCAGTGTTATGTTACTGTGTTCCTATATGCGTGAGTATGAATCCATATGTTATTTCATTGTCATATTGTTTGGGATTATAATGCTGCATCATTTTTGTAACAAGCTACAGCGTGTATCCATATTTTGGGGAAGGATAATTTATGGATTTGTCCTTTTCCTTCCCTGAAATGTTTGAGATGATACAAGAAATATTTTTCTGTGAGTAAATTTAGTTAGAAACTGTCATGACTGAAGCAAGGTTTATGTGCTCATATGCCCTCTGCTCTTTCAATCTTGTGATATATCTCAGCTGTTATTTTATCAAGCATATGCTATGATACAGGGCTCTCTAAAATGTTTAAACGCAGGCTCACTTTACAGTTTCTGTTTTGAGGCATACCATTCCTTTCTACATTTGATTGAGACGACCTCTTTATGTCTGTAATTGGTTGCTCGTGCTATCAGTAATTCTTCACTTAATTATTTGAAGCTGGCTCTTTTTCTTTTTACCAAATATATATATGACAAAATACGTAGAGAATTAAATTATTATTCATTGTCTTTCTCTTTGCCATAATTGCTGAGAAGGTCTCTCTCTCTCTCTCTCTCTCCATTACAAAGTGAAAGTTGATTTAGTTGTATTCTAAGAGACTAAACATTATAGTATTTCCACCATCAATATAAAATAGTGATTTATAACTACTTTTATTAGCATATGTGTGTGTTAAGAATGGCGTATTTTTTTAATAAATATTGGATTTGACTATAATGTCCTGTTAATAGAAGCTCAAGATGCAATGTCACTAATAGCAAAGTTTGCCATTGGATGTGATCTTGAGACACATCTATCCAGCTTTATCTCCAGAATCTAACTATCCCTAAAATCCTTCATATGTTATTCTTCCATCTCCTCTTTGCTCTTTCAGAAGTTGTTTTCCAAGATGTCTGTGCTGAAATTCTGTGTGTGTTCTTTGAATTTGTGAGGTTTCTATTGAGTGGACTATTAGACATTTTTGGAGACCCAGTTTTCTACTCTCTCATGTTAGTTTCTACTTCCAATTACTAGCAAATCCACATTTTCTCATTAGCTGTCTAGTGTTCATGCCTGAATGGTTTATTGTTTTCGTTGTTAAAGACTATGCATATGTTCAGTTCAGTTGTGAAATTAAATGTAGAGTTGATATCTTTGTAAAATATTTCTCATGACAGCAATGTAAATCCTGGCAAAAAAATTCTGGCTTTATATTTCTGTAAAACTTAAAGCTATGTGCCTACAAATTTAACTGTGATGCATACTGACAAACTATGAAGCAGTTCTAAGGTGTTCATGAAAATCTATCCATTGGTTCAAATGTTGGAAGGGGTGGGGGGCTTGCACATGAAAACAGTGGCATTAAAAACCTGTTTTCCTTGTTATCGAAGGTAAGTGGGCTGAAATGGAATGCTGTAAAATCATATACATTCTCTAGCAACCCCTGTCATGCACCCATCATTCCCAAAAAGTCTTAAATGGATTATAATATATGAGTATCATATGAAACAGAGAGACATGTAACCTGTTCTTCCAATTTATAGCTCTGAATATGATGACTGGAGACCTGTACTGGCACAGCTTCTACAGCCTATCCCATTTCCTAGTGATGCCCTGGCTCATGAACCATTCATCAGGTAAGTCAACATAAATTTAATTTTTAAATTGTATTAATGACCCAACAATATTTCACTATCTTCACTTTATGCTGTTTAACATCTCTCTACTTCATAATTTATACAGACGTATGTTTCATGTTGCATGTATGAAGGACACAGCTAGGGAAATGTTTGTAATACACTGGAAACCTCATTGAATGTTCCTCAATGTTAGGTTTTGCCACATTTAATATTTACCTTCAATGATACCATGTCAGTAACTTTGGTGTTAAATTTCCTCCATTCAAAATTTTCTTCACTCTAGCTCACTGCCTAAAAGTAAATTTTAAAAAAGATGTTTCATTGTAATTTAATGATTCATAAACTGGGAAAACTTGGTAAGGCACTGAAAGCAATTAAGAACACACGTATTTGAAGTTTCATAGAATACTGATGTCATGAAACTGCTTTTTTTATGATTATAATTCCTCCTTTCTTTGAGTTATTTGCATGATATGTATGGAATGGGGAAATATGTTCATCCTTCCATCCATATGTTTCAACTCGAAACCAAATTAGCAGATTTAGAAAAGGACTGATATTTGGGAGATCTACATTAAAAGTTGTTATTCAGAGTTTGTTTGGTTTGTTATCAGTCCATTACATTACGTAAAGGTGTTATAAACATTAGAATGATCTGTCATACAAAAAATAGGTACTCAGTATAAAATATAGGTCATTTATTTTGTGTCTGACAGTTTTAAGTTCTGCTTTGTTTTGGCAGGAGATTCAGACCTGTGATGGAACGTATTGGAACTGATGCAAGATGCTCATCGCACCAGATGGTGCAGGCTGTCCGCAAAGGAAAAGAAGGCTGGTTCCATGTCTATTGTCCATCGAGTCCTGTCTGTACTGATGATGGGCAAACCTGGGGTCATATGGTAAGAGTTTTGAGCCATTTTATGTCTTAAAACTTAAAATAGACCACCACTGTCCACCTAAATCTTTATCTCTGCAGCAGTCATGATCACCTTCCTATTTAGTCAGCACTGCATAAATTTTGCAGTTGAATAGAATTATTAAGGAACTTACAAATCAGTCAACCAACATCTTTAGTTCGTATAGCATCCTTACATAACCTGAAAATGAACCATGCAAAAAATCACTGCTTCAGTAAGAATGCAAAACCTTTGTGTCTCAACAGCTGAAGACCCTGCTGCACTGTTGTTGCCGCTGCAAGTGGTTCCTATCACAACTGATGAAGAAACAGCTTGGGGCCTGTCTATTGCTTGCTCTGCGGGACCATTCAGCTGCCCAGGAGGCACTGTGCCTTATGCTGGAGTGGGAACTTATCGAGCAAGAGGACCAGAAAATGCAACTCGTGTCCACACTCCAGAGCACAGCCTCAGGTCGGGATAATTATGCAGCTCTCTGTCAGCGACAGCTGCATCTTCGTGAGCTGGTGAGAATGCAGAATACAGGTGTTTGAATTGAGACATCTAGATTTAATATTAATAAATGCTTGTATAGAAAATTTAAAATTTTAATCTTAATAATTGGCTGTGTAAGTTATATGAATTCTTCTTGGACATAACAGTAACAAATGAGAAATAAATTCACAAAGTAACAGACTAGATTATATCTGGGGAATGCTTGCTCTCATTCAGTTCTGTATTTTTTATCTTCTTATCTCTTATATGAAATGTAAAAAATTGAAATTCGCAAATATAGAATTTTATTTGTTTCTTTGTATGACAATGAAACATAGTCTACCACCCTAAGGGAAGAACATAGTTTGAGGGTGTTTGATGATGGATGTCAAGAGTATTTGAATTAAGAGACAGGAAGGAGGCTGAAGAAAACTGTATAATGAGGAGCCTTAAAATCTGAACTCTTTACCAGTTATTATCACGATGTTCAAGTAAGGTAAAATGAGGTGAGAGATGAATGTAGCATAAATGATGGAGAGATGAGAATTGTATACTCAGTTTTCAGTGAGAAACCCTGAATAGCAAGGTCACTTAAGAGACTTGTTTATGAACAGAAAAATAATATTAAAATGGATCTTAAAGTAGCAGGTAATGATGGTGTGGACTGGATTCATTTGGCTTAAGTATACAGACTAATGGAAGGTGCTTATGAACACAATAATGAACCTTCAGGTTTATTAACAGGTGGGGAATTTCTTGACTGCTTAAGTAACTATTTAGTATCTACTCAAGAAAGGCTCTGTTCCATGTGGTTAGTTATTAGGCCTTTGACTAGCATGCATATAATCACTTTAATTTACATATGAACTCCATACTAAGAATGTTCATAGTAGAGCTGTCGTCTATAATTGTGCAACTTTGGGCCCATATGGAATTATTTTATGGTTTCATAGCAAACCTTATGAACTGTAATAGCTTGGATAAGAAATTTTCGTATTTTTAACGTATATAAAAATATACAACTTCATTTTGTATGCTATTTGTTTTTATGTATTTAACATCAGCAGTAGTGAGGAGCTCCATAATTTTTACTCTTTGCTTAATGTAATTAGAATGATAAGCTACAGGAGGATTTGCTGGACAGAGCATATAACATGCAGGGAGGCATGCAGAATGCATACAAGATTGTGGTGGAAAGCCAGAAGGAAAGAGGCCACTAGGAAGACCTGGATATAGTTGGGAGGATTATATTGAAATGGATCTTACAGAAATGGATTGAAGTTTAAGGATTTGATTCTTCTGGCTCAGGATATGAACCAATGGAAGATTATGATTTTTTTTTGTAAAAATTCCTACAAATTATGTATGAGATATTGTTTGTAGGTGAGTCAGTAACTCCAAACACAGCGACAATGCAATAGTTTGAGGTCATATCCAGCAAATTAGGCATGGACAGAATTTGTACTTAAGCAATAAAGTATTCCCTAAAGGAAAATACCACAACTGTCACCACCATCAATACTGCCACAGTTGCTGCTACCACCATACTACTGCTACTACTATTAGCACTACCACTACCACCGCCACTGCCACCATCAATAGTGCTTGTCTTTTCATGGTGCCTATCCTGACAGTTTCTGTATCAAGATTATGAATGCATTGCTTACTACACACCTACTGTTTTATCATCTCAGTAATTTAAAATGAATTACCATAACTGTAAAGATGAGATGTACTTACAATTCAGTGTTAAGTGCCACTTTTCCCTTATTTTCCAATCTATTCAACTGTCTGACCGCCTCTGTGGTCTAGTGGTCCTGGCTACAGATCCAGAGGTCTGGGTTCGATTCCCGGCGCTACCAGATTTTTTCTGAGAAGTAGTGGCTCTGGAATGTGGTCCACTCAACCTTGAGATTATAATTGAGTAGCTATTTCAAGGAAATAGTGGCTCCGGTCTAGAAAACCGAAATTAACGGCAATGGGGATTCGTTGTGCTGACCACGTGACACCCTCTGTCTGCAAAAGTTGGCACTAACTTCACCAAGTGGTAGTTGCTTGGTCGGTACAGTTTGCTTGTGGACTAAAATCACGGAGTTTTTATTTTATTCAACTGTCTTGTATTCTGCATAGTATTTTCACTTTCAGAGCAAGAGCTGAATTCTGTATTAAAGTTACCAGAAGCAGGATTCTCCATACTAAACAAAGATGTTCTTGCACAATGAATCATCTGCTTTGTATGTGAGGGTCTGTAAATTTAAATAATGAGTGTGCAGTTGCAGTTCCTAACTAAGTTTTACTAATATTTTTTGGTTTATGGGACTATTATAGCAGCAAAAAGGAGGACCTCGAAAGCTGACATTACCAAGCCGATCAACTGATGCTGACATAGCTCGGCTATTGAGCTGTGGTTCGTTCGGCAACCTTGAGGTCCTTAGCCTTGCTTTCACACATGTGACAAGTGCATGTGCTGAGCAGCTCATAAAGCTGCCATCCCTCAAGTATCTGAATCTGTGGGCTACACAGGTAAGAAATGTTGCCATACCAATGTTCAAATAGGCACAAATCACTATTTACTTTATGATATACAGTGTATGCTCATTCACTGTTATAATTATTTTGACTGTGTTGTTTTGCAGAGTCTATGAAATTCATGAGAGTGTGTCTGTCTGTCTGTCTATGTGTTTTACCTCTGAAACTTTAATAGATTTCAAAGAAATATGATATTGGGGTTTCATACTAAAAATTGTCAGCACATTTAATTTTGATATGTTTTGGTCGGATATAACTCCTGCTTTACAATAAGCTGAAACTAAACTTGATAATTTTCTAAAAAATGAGCCATTATGCAGAAAATGAATACATAATATAAAATGAGGTATATATTTGAGGCAGTTTCTGATATGGCAAATATTTAATGAAATATGAGAAAAAATATATTTCTGAATGTGTGCAGAGTGATATTTATACTGTGATTACCTTTGCAACCATGGCTTTATACCCTCAGTTGAAGAACATGAAGACCCATTAATCAAAACAGTGAATAATGCATTTTGAATATACCTTTCCACTCTGGACTAAGTGAATATTCTACTGAAATATTTAGAAAATGTTAATATGAGAGTAAATCAGAAGTTCAGACCAGTTGTTCATTTCTATATCAAGATTATTAACAAATCTATGGCTACTGCTTCAACTGTGTATGCTCTGATATTATATTTAAGCATCCTGTTGCACTCTACACGACAAATGATACAAAGTCCGTCCCAAGTGCAAACAATATATTGTGACATGTTGCGCAAAGCAGCGCCCCCCCCC